GCGCGCGGTGGGGGTGTGAGGAGGAGGAGGAGGCGGCGGCGGCGGCGGAATAGGCCGGGGCAGGTCGCGCTCGCTGCCTTCTCCCCAGAAGAGAAACGCGGGGGGAGGGGGGTGCGGCGAGCGGCTCCGCTCTCTCCCCACCGTTCCGCTCGCGCCCCAGTGTAATGAGGGTCACCCCCTCCCCCCAGCTGGCCCGGGAGGGGGCGCGGGGCACGGTAACTAGTGCGCTGGGGTGGGCGGCGGGCGGGAGGCGCGAGGGGGAGGGCGGAGGCGGCCGGGCGGGGAAGATGGTGGTAGCCGTGAGGTGAGGGGCTCGGGGGAGGGTCTGGCGCGGCGCGGGGTTGGTGGCCGGCGGCGCTGCAAGTGAGGGCCCCTACCCCCTCCTCCATCACTACCAGCCGGGCTCAGGCCTAGCTGGCCGGGCTGCTGAGAACTTCCTCCCGGCGCGGCCGTGCCCCGCCGCTCGGCCGCGCGCACCTCGGCCCCCGCCTCCCCTCAGGTAGCCAACTAGGGGCCGCGGGGGCAGCAAACTTTGCTTGCTGCTGAATATTGATGAGTGCGATCGGCGCGGCCGGGAGGTGTTGCCGCGGCTGCGGGAAGGAGCGCGGCCCGGGCAGGCGGCGGCGGCGGCGGCGTCGGCAGCAGCCATGTTTGTCAAGCTCTAGCAGCTGCTGCTACCCTGACTGGGCTTCTCGAGCCACCTGGGCTTCGGTCCCGGCCGTGTCCGGGTCTGTGGACCCTGCGGCTGCGGACCGAGTAGGCCTGCAGTCAAGAAGGCGAGCTTCGGGGTGCGCCCGCCTCCGTCGTCTCGTCTGCGGCCTGCGCACGGCCGCTGCAAGGCTCCGGCGACGGCTGGGCGCAGAGTGCAGCGCTATTGTGACCGCTGCGCCCGAGCGAGCCAGGAAGGAGGAGGGGTGCCTTTTTGTGCAGCGTCCAGAAGCCCCCCTGGAGCCCGGCAGCCCCCTCCCTTCAAGAAATCCGGCCACTGGACCCCGGGCGGGGGAGGACTAGGAGGATTCCTGTTTGAGATTTGGGAATTTTGACTGCCAAAGGCATTTAATTTTTTACTTCAGCCCAAGTGTCCACCAGTCTGCAGTGCAGGAAAAAGACGGGCTGTTTCCATGTGGCAGGATTTGCTTGGCTTCAGGAAGATGGAGTTTGCGGAGCTCACCGAAGCCATTTTTCCATCGTCAGTCGGGAGAACTTTTTCGTCCTTGGAAGTGCAGCAGAAAGGCGTAGAGGCGACTAGGCCTTGAGAAGTGGCTGCCATTTTGGAGAGAAGAGTCAGCTGGCCTATTAATTTAGATTAATTGCTGTGTTTTTGGATTCCAGGTTGATGCCGCCCCAGGATGGATCAGACCTGTGAACTGTCTAGAAGAAATTGTCTGCTGCCCTTTTCCAATCCAGTGAATTTAGATGCCCCTGAAGACAAGGACAGCCCTTTCGGTAATGGTCAATCCAATTTTTCTGAGCCACTTAATGGGTGTACTATGCAGTTATCGACTGCTAGTGGAACATCCCAAAATGCTTATGGACAAGATTCTCCATCTTGTTACATTCCACTGCGGAGACTACAGGATTTGGCCTCCATGATCAATGTAGAATATTTAAATGGGTCTGCTGATGGATCAGAATCCTTTCAAGACCCTGAAAAAAGTGATTCAAGAGCTCAGTCGCCAGTTGTTTGCACTTCCTTGAGTCCTGGTGGTCCAACAGCACTTCCTATGAAACAGGAACCCTCTTGTAATAACTCCCCTGAACTCCAGTTAAAAGTAACAAAGACTATCAAGAATGGCTTTCTGCACTTTGAGAATTTTACTTGTGTGGACGATGCAGATATAGATTCTGAAATGGACCCAGAACAGCCAGTCACAGAGGATGAGAGTATAGAGGAGATCTTTGAGGACACTCAGACCAATGCCACCTGCAAATATGAGCCTAAATCAGAGAATGATGTAGAAGTGGCCATGGGAAGTGAACAAGACAGCACATCAGAGAGTAGTCACGGTGCAGTCAAATCGCCATTCTTGCCATTAGCTCCTCAAACTGAAACACAGAAAAATAAGCAAAGAGATGAAGTGGACGGCAGCAATGAAAAAGCAGCCCTTCTCCCAGCCCCCTTTTCACTAGGAGATACAAACATTACCATAGAAGAGCAATTAAATTCAATAAATTTATCTTTTCAGGATGATCCAGACTCCAGTACCAGTACATTAGGAAACATGCTAGAATTACCTGGAACTTCATCATCATCTACTTCACAGGAATTGCCATTTGTAAGCAGTTTTTGGTACAACTTAAATATATACGTGAATGTATATACACAGGCCACTTAAAGGAAAACATACCTGATTTGTTTTTGGTTATCAGTTCACTGCTGAAAGCTACTGAATGATAAACTTTGGGGGGAGAATTTTAATTTGATTTTTAAATTTGTCAGTTGTGAGAGTTCTGTTCTTTGCAGCCTTTCCTAAATATCTTTCCATTGAGAACTGGCTAAGTATTAAACTTTTAAGGGTGTTTGAGTTTAGGTTTAATTTTTCAAAATAACAAAAAGCTTCAGCCTGCCGGTATAAATACAAGTAAACCCATTTGTTATTTGGAGTCCTGTTTTCACATTGACATGGCTTATTTTTTTAGTTGGTAGTGACTCTTGCTGCAGGTTGAAGTGCATTTTGGGCACAGGTTGAAAGTGTTTAAGATGAGAAAGCTTTCTTGGAAATCAGTTTAAATTGGGTTACTTTTTCTCACCTGTTTGGTGAAGTCACAGAATTGTATGCTTTTGATAACTGCTACCATTAGTAGGGTCTTTAATCTTTTCTAGTTTTAAATTTTGAAGTGTGTTGACACAAATAGAAATGCAGAAGTCAAATTTGAACTTGTTTACAGTAGTGCTGTGTGATATTGCTAAGAGGTGGGAAATAATAAAGTTCTTTTTTATTAGAACTTATTTGGAATTTGACTTTTAGTTAGCTAAGTGACCAGTTGACTTCTTTTAGGTTTGTTTTTTTTCCCTGCTAAAATCTAGAAGTATTTGAAGTATTTGATTTATAAAAAATTTCTTTCAGCTTTAAATATCTGATTCTGATTTTGGTTTTTTTCTTTCTTTTTTTTTTTTTTTTTTTTTTGGTTGGTTTGAACTGGGTTCTTGTCCTGTAGTTCGGGCTGGTCTCAAACTCCTGGTGATCCTCCTGTCTCAGCCTCCTGAGTGGAGTGCTGGTATTACAGGTGTGCACCACCATCCCTGGCTAGATGCTGATTTTGTTTCTGCCCAGGTACCACATTGTTGTGGTAAGCAGTGATGTCACCAAAGAGGATTTATTTATTTTGGGGGACAACAAATGCTTTGGAAGTAGTATGTAAAGATTTGATAAATGAAAATTTTACAATATGTGAAGATTGTTTTGCATGTATTAAACATTCATTGTACCATACATCCCTGCTCTGTAAAGTTACAGAGGGAAAATGTGGGTGTGTTGCTTTTGTTTTTGTTGATTTTTTTTTTTTTTTTGTCTTTTTGAGACAGGGTCTTGCTGTGCCGTTCAGGCTGGCCTTGAAGTCACTTTGTAGCCCAGGCTGGTCTCAAACTTGCAAGGATCCTCCTGCCTCAGCCTCCCTAGTGCTGGGATTATAGGCATGCGCCACCACGCCTGGCTCGTTTCTTAAATGTGTTTTAATTGTCTGGTTCCTTAGCTTGGCAGTTGTAGATTTTTGAAAAATCATTTTGGTGATTAGCGAGAGGTTTTTTTTGACTTTTTGAGACAGGATCTTGCTATGCAGTTCAGGCTGGCCTTGAGATCATTTTGTAGCCCAGGCTGGCCTTGAACTTGTAATGATCCTCCTGCCTCAGCCTCTCCAGTGCTGGGATTATAGGCGTGTTTGTATTTTCATAGACATTTTAAGGTGATTAGGCTGGTTGAAAACTTACAGTTAAGACATCTGTTTCTTTGGGTTCATATTGAAATTGTACATAGTTCTGTCCTTGTTTTCACATGTAAATTATTTTATTTTATTTTTTGGTTTTTTGAGATGGTCTCACTGTGTAGTATAGGCTGCCTTGAACTCCAGCATTTCTCTTGCCTCAGCCTCCCGAGTGCTGGGATTACAGGCGAGTGCCACCATACCTGACTTCACATGTAAATTTAAATATGAGGATGAAGATAAATGTCTCTAGAACCATGCAAATAGAAATGTAAACCTTTGATACATCATAGCAAACAAATATTACTAGAGTATTCATTAAAAACAAATTCTGGGGCCAGTGTGTTATATGTGTAATGTGGTAATTAGTAAACTTGTATAAATGTAGAATTTTGGGGGGTGAGAAAAGCTTAATTACTCAGAGAATTTATGAGTGTGAAGGAGTAAGTTTCTCATTTAATATTTTAGGTCTTTGGCTCAAGGTTGTGACTAAAACTTTTGCTTTTGCCCAGGCTGGCCTCAAACTCACAGCTATCCACTTGCCTCACCGTCTTGGCATGCTGGGATTACAGGGATGTGCCACTACACCTAGCTTTTTTCCTTTTTGAAACAGGTCCACAACTAAGTAGTCCAGGCTGGCCTCTATTTTATTTTTTGTTTTTGTTTTTTTGAGACAGGGTCTCACTATGTAGTCTGTGCTGGCCTTGAATTTACTATGAGCCCGAGCTGACCTCAAATTTGGGGCAATTTTCCTGCCTCAGCCTCCTAATACTGGGATTATAGGTGTGCACTACTAGGCCCAGCTCTTAGATTGAGGATTTTAAATGAAATCGGTCTCAGAATAGGAATTTAGCTGAACAATACAGTTTGGGAAAGATGTAATTTAAAAGTTTTTGGCCAGGTGTGATGGTAAAAGTTTATAATCCAACACTGTGAGGGTGAGGCAAGAGGGTCACAAATTCCAGCCTCACCTGGGCAATTTAGTGGCTCAGTAAGACCCTCTCAAAATAAATTGAAAAAAGGGCCAGCTATGTAGCTCAGTGCAAAGGCTCTGGGTTCAATTCCTAGGAACCCTTTCCCTGAGTCTTTTGAGGTACACCTGTAATCCCAGCATTTTGGAGTCTTTTTTTGTTGTTCTTTTTGAGGCGGGGTCTCACTATGCAGTTTAGGCTGACCTTGAGCTCACTTTGTAGCCCAAACTGGCCTTGAACTCACAGTGATCCTCCTGCCTCACTCCAGAGTGCTGGGATTACAGGCGTGTGGCACCATGCCCAGCTACATGGAGTCTTAGCTGACAGGATTATAAACTCAAGGGCTATATAGTGAGACCCTGTCTCAAAACAAACAAAAGATGAAAAGCAATAAAAAAGAGTTCCATGCACTCATGTAGTAATGACCTATTCAGATTGTTCATAATTAATTTATTACTTTGTTTTGTTTTGGTTTTTTGTCTTTTTGAGACAGGGTTTTGCTGTACACTTCAGGCTGGCCTTGAACTCACTTTGTATTCTAGGCTGGCCTCAAAATTGTGGCAATCCTGTGGCCTCAGCCTCCAGAGTGCTGCGATGAGCCACCAACCTGGCCTGTTCATAGTTTATTTATTTATTTATTTTTCCGGTGCCGGGAATCAAACTCATGACCTTACGCTTGCCAGGCAGGCGCTGTGCTGCTGAGCTAAATCCCCAGCCCCTGTTCATAGTTAAATTCATTGAGCTGCATATAAAATTCCTAATGCTTAGGGCAAAAATTTAACAAATGTTGATTTTATTCTGTGTGTAATATTATTATTGTGATTATTCATTTATTTTTACTTTTTTTTTGTTTTGTTTTGTTTTTTGAGACAGGGTCTCACTGTATAGTCCAGGCTGGCTTAAACTCATGATGATCCTTCTGCCTCAGCCTCCTGAGTGCTGTGATTACATGCATGTGCCGCCACACCTGGCCGCCTTATACTTATTTATTTATTTATTTGGTACCGGGAATTGAACTCACGACCTCGCACTTGCCAGGCAGGTGCTGTGCCATTGAGCTATATCCCCGGCCCTGGCCTTCTATTTTAAATTTAAATTTAAATTTTATTTATTTATTTTTTCTTCTGTTCTTCTTTTTTTCTTGGTACCCAGAATTGAACTGATGACCTTGCACTTGCCGGGCAAGTGCTGTGCTGCTGAGCTAAATCCCTGGCTTTATTTTATTTTTTGAGACAGGGTCAGAATTGGAGAATTAAATGAACATGACATTTTTAGAGGGCACTTGGGATTGATGATGTAGAATCGGGCCCTAGAAATTGAGATTGCATTTTGTATTCTTGACATAGGAGTTGGGCACAATGAAGAATTTTAGCTGAGAGATAATATGATGAAATTTATGTTTGGAAGAGACTATAGAGACCTGGTAAAGATGTTGGAGTTTCTTTTTTTGTTTGTTTGTTTGTTTTTTTGTTTTTCTTCCGGTACCGGGAATGGAGCTCATGACCTTGCTCTTGCCAGGCAGGCACTGTGCTACTGAGCTAAATCCCCAGCCCTGATGTTGGAGTTTCTTAGACTAGTAATTGAGACTTTGACTTAGCCAGTTATGGTGACCTCTGCCTGTAATCCCAGTACACTATGAGGTTGCGGTAGGAGGATAACAAATTCAAGCTCACCCTGGACAATTTAGTGAAACTGTCTCAAAATAAAATACTAAAAAAGAGCTGGGGAAGTGAGGTAGCTCAGTGAGAAGGCCTCGAGTTGAAGTCTTGCTTCCGTGCATGCTCACCCTCCCCCAAAGAAAAGAGAGTTTTAGTCAGTAGTAGAAAGAAAGGACAGTCGGACATGGTGGCACACACCTGTAATCCCAGCACTTGGGAGGCTGAGGCAGGAGGATCGCTGTGACTTTTGAGGCCAGCCTGGGCTGCATAGTGAGACCCTGTCTCAAAAAAG